TCCACCCTTATGACCTAATCACCTCCCAAGGGATTAGGGTTTTAATATATGAAATTGGGTTGGAGGGGCGTGAGCAGACAAAAACATTCAGACTTTAGAAATAACTTTGAGGACAGCAGCCTTTGGGTAAAGCCAAACTGTGGAAAAGAGTTGAGGAGAAAAAGCCTAAGTGGATGACACTGTGAATACCCAGGGTCAAGCACTAAGGACACCTGCCCTTCAGCTAGTCTAGATATACTGATATGTGAGCCAATAACTCCCTTGTTTGAAATAGGAATTTATTTTTCGCTTTGGCTGGTCAGCATGCAAGCTCTTTCCTATGTTAGGAGTTCCCCACTTCGTGAACAGCCCATTTCTCACCAGAGAAGCTGAAAATATCAGATACTCATCTTCCCATTCTCCATTGGAGTTAGGAGGCAACATGATCTAGGCTCCATCAGACAAATGCTTAAACACACACATAAATCAGATCCATGATAAATCATGAAGTTTCATGAAGCGGAACAGAGGCTGAGCATTTCTGTTCTGTGGATTTTGGCCAGTGACCACTGTGTTCTATTTTCAGAAATAGCAGTGTCACTGGTTCTAGTAGTAGCAGCCGATGTCCAGTGTAGGTGGCACCTGTGCTGGCATCAGTTACATGGCTACAAAAATTATCGTGTGGATAGATTTTGGTGGTGTTCCTGGTGTTTGATAGCTCCAAACACCATGAAGATTCTAATTACCCAAAATTCTTTTAATAAGTTGCATTTTCTGTTTCCATTTGTCTGAATTTGCTTCAGTTGCTTGACACTTAAGACCCAATTGAAATTTTGTTCTCTTAAGTAGCATTCTTTTTTAATTGCAGCTAAAAGTATCCTAAATGGTCCCTAGTTTTAGGCTCTATCACTTATCTATTGCCATAACGATGCCCTGAAGCCAATAATTCAGGGCAATAAGTAATTAAAACAATAATTATTTATTCTTTCTCATTCATCTGTGTGTTGCCTGAGAATCAGCTGATCTAGGCTGTGTTCAGCTGACCTAGACTTTAAATGTAGATTGGCTCTAGCTCAGCTCCATGCAGCTCTCATCCTCCTTGGACTACCCAGGCCTTGTCTTCTTATAGAATGACAGCAGTCAAGAGGGCAAGGCCAACTGTGCAATTATAATTCCAGCCTTCTCGTAGTAAGTCCACTAATATCCCAATGGCCAAGTCACATGACCACCAACGATGAAGAAGGGAAATATACTCTCTAGTAAGATGAACTGCAAAGCACATGGCAAAGGGCATGAGCACAGGGATGGATAGAAAATTGGGAAAAATAATGAAATCTATTGCATTGACTTCTACTCTACCATTAATCCCCCCCAAAAACCAAAGTGTTAGCTAAAGTCTGATGATGGTATAATAATTTCTATTTTATAGCTATTGAAGTCTTGTTGAGAGACATGTTGGACACACTACCTTCAGGTAAAGAAATGAATCTTTATTACCTTTGCATGATCAGGCAATGATAGAATCATAAAATGATCGGCTGTTAGGGATTTTAAAGACTCGTTAGTAAATCCTATTGCTTGGTTGATATGGAAACTAAAGCAACAAAATGTAAATGATTTGGTCAAGGTTGTACCCCTAGAAAATGGCAGAAGAACAAATACACATCAATATATTATAGATATACATCAATACAACAGTAGAATGAACATCTATTGGCTCCCAGAGCTACTTTACCAACATCGCAATCGAGCAGAAAGTTTTCTGTATGCTTCAAATCATTTACTTCTCTTCCTCCATAACACATCAGGTGTAAGATTGGTTATGTGTTTGGACACCTCTGCCCATCTATCTACATGCCACTACTCAAAGGGATGCTGACTCAGGCTAGAAATCAAATAGGTGGACCCAGAATGAAGGTGGCAAACTGCCACTAGGTGAGTCCTCTGAAGCAATTAATACAGGTATCCATCTCCAATTTACAAGTGCTTTGGAAATCAGCTCTTATAATAAAATCCTCATATAGGTAAAAAATCAGTCTTTACAGATCTTCATGGGACACTAGCAGTAGCAACAGCTTCTGCTTTTTCCCCTCTAATTAAAGGCAAATAAGCAAAATTAGTGTGGAGAAAAAAATAGACCTTTTAAAGAAATTCCTAGGTAGGCAGGTAAAGCCTTATAAACCATGGTAAAGAATTGAGATTTTGTATGAGGACAAAGGGAAGATTTTGGTAAATTTTTTATAGTGGAGGGTCGTGATAGTATTTACATTTACTTCAGGGCCTGGCAAATTCTACCCAGCACAGGAGAGCAGCGCTCCTCCTTCCCAGGCCTATGACAGGGCTGGGAGGGCCCAGAGAACTGTTTGTCTTAGACTTCCCATTCACAAAGGTGAGACCTCAAGTGGAACATTTGATGTCATCTCCACGTAAAGTTAGACACACAATCCTTTGATTATATTTTTATGTTAAAAGCATTAATTTACTACAATTATCATTTAAAATACACTACAATTTTTTAAAACCCTATGTAGCCTTTCATTCATATTTTAATATATTTGGAGCCCAAAAGATAGAGGTGGCTCTTGCAACCCCTGTAAAGGCCCTCATTCCTCACCTTCTCCACTGACCTGACCACAAGTTGGGCCTCTTCATTGATTATATTCGAGACTCCCATTTTTCTCTTTGTCCCCAAGGTCTAAATGTTGATTTCCTGCACATTTCACAGTGTTTTGTTGGTATATCTTACCTTTAACATGCATCATAACCATAGTTCTATTTTTAATTTTGTGACGTAGCTTCATACTGTTTCCCATAGTGACTGTACCAATTTGCAATCCCACCAACAGTGCACAAAGATGCCCTTTTCTTCACATCCTCATCAACTCTTGTTATTTTTTGACTTATCTGACAGGTGTGAGATTGTGGTATTAATTTGCATTTCTCTGATGATTAGTGATGTTGAACATCTTTTCACATGTCTATTGGCCATCTGAATGTCATTTTTGGAGAAATATCTATTCAGGTCCTCTTCCCATTTTTTAATTGGATTGTTTGGGTTTTTTGATGTTGAGTTGTATGAATTCTCTATAAATTTTGAATATTAACCCATTATCAGATGTATCATTGGCAAATATCTTCTCCCATCCAGTAGGTTGTCTTTTCGTTTTGTTGATGGTTTTCTTCACTGTGCAACAACTTTTTAGTTTGATGTAGTCTCATTTGTTTATTTTTTCTTTTGTTTCCCTTGCTCAGGGAGATATTTCAGAAAAAAAAATATTACTCAGAGCAATGTCACAGAGTTTACTGCCTATGTTTTCTTCTAGGAGTTTTATCTTTTCGATCATTTTAAAATGTAAAAAAAAAAATTTAAGTAAAAATTATTCTAAACTCGTGGGTCATACAAAAAGAGATGCCGGGTCAGATTTGGCCCACAGTCTAAAACAGTACTTTGCCAACTCCTGTTCTAGAATAAATTTTTAAGGACAACATCCTTGGCAAAATTCCTAACCTATTCTATGTCTAGCTGCGAATTAAAAGGATTTTGACTGCCTGGTGCCAACTAAAGAATAGCAGAATCCAGCCAATAAAATATAGTCACCTTTGCCTTTAATGAATTTTTTATGAGAGGTGACATCTGAGCATCTAAAACCTCACAGAGGTCAATTGTTGTCAACTTTGGCTTTACATTGGAATCATCTGGGGGTGATTAAAAACCTGCGATGCCCAGGTCAATTATATCAGAATCTCTAGGCTGAGACCAAAGAATCAGTATTTTTTAAATCTCTTCAGGTGATTTCAATGGGCAAACAAGGCTGAAAATCACTGATCTCAAGAGGACAAAGAACTAGGACTTCATCAATTTGCAGAAGAGGTGATAGGGTTGTTTCTGTTTACTAGTAAATGTTTGTTTAGTTATAGCTTCATGTGTGAGAGAAATTGCTCTGAGCCTTGGGTTCATTATAAAATGATGATGAGGTTTCTGGAAGAGCAGCTAACATGCATGCACACCTCATGTACAGCAAAGAAAACTATCAACAAAATGAAAAGGCAGCTTATGGAATGGGAGAAAATATTTACGAATTATAGATCTGATGAAGGTTTAATATCCAAAATATATAAATAACTCATACAACTCAAAAGAAAGCAATTCAATTTAAAAATGGGCAGAGGAACTGAATAGACATTTTTCCAAAGAAGACATGTTTATGAAAAGGTGATCAACATCACTGATCATTAGGGAGAGGCACATCAAAACTTCAATGAGCTATCACTTCATACTTGTTAGGATAGCTCTTATTAAAAAGACATGAGATAACAAGTGTGGGTGAGGATATGGACAAAAAGGAACCCTTGTGCACTGTTGGTGGGAAAGTAAATTGGTGCAACAACTGTGGAAAACTGTGTGGAGTTTCCTTAAAAATTAAAAATAGAACTAACATGGGTCCAGCAATCTCACTTCTGGGTATTTATCCAAAAAATATAAAATTACTATCTCGAAAGGATATCTGCACCCCCCTGTTCATTGCAGCATCATTTACAATAACCAAGACAAGGAAACAACATTATTATTCATTGGCTACTGAGCTGCTGCATGGATAAATGACAAAAATGATTTTCCAGAGGTAGCCGGCATCTCGAAACAAGAGTGGTCTCAGATCATTGTCAGATCAGGGCTGTTCCCAGTGACAGGTTGCTGGGGTGAGATGCTTTATGGGAGCCTAGGAATTGGCACAGTCGCTGAACAAAGGCAAATCCACAAGATCCAACAGACCCTGAACGATTGGGAGGAGCTGTTTGATTTAAGCCTCGCGAAGCCCTTTGGTTTCAAAATCGTTTTCAAAGACATGTTTCTCTCCTTTGTTAATGACGCTATTATAGAATGGAGAGGTTTCAGGACTTCTGCTAGTGATCCCTCTGCTGGCTGCCCCAGCATATTTCAGTTTCAGATTTAGTTGGTAGTTTTTTAAGTAAATGAAACTTAAGAAGAGCTCCACCCACTTGTCATGTTCGTTCGTTTCCCAACTATAACCTATTGCCTGGCTGACTTTGCTCCAGTCTGACACTGACTGGCCGGACCATGGCTTCAGTGCAGGCTCTGGGGGGTCCCAGTGCCGGGCTGACCTGTGCTCTGATCCTGATATTCACAGTGCTCCTGCAGTCCCTCAGTGTGGCTGTGACTTACATATACTTCTCCAATGAGCTGAAGCAGGTCGGTACAATGCTCACGGGGCGGACAGAGGCTGTCAGCACCCTCGGGATAACTGCCTCTCTTTTGCGTCTCTATTTGCTTCTATTTAAGGACTTTGTAGTGGGAGAAAATGTTCTCTTTCTCTGCTTGTGGACTCCAATTGCTAATGCATAGTAGTACTGAGGACTTTGCAAAAGTAAGTGCAAGGGACTATGTGAACAAAGTGCAAAACTTCTGAGGTAGTTTTTTGTCTTCAACAGTATATGTATTTTACAATGTTAGCAATTCCTACCATTCACTGAGTGCTTTCTGTTAAATACTTTCTAGGTCTTTACTCTAATTCTCAGGGATGAGAGTAGCTGCATCAGAACAGAGCTGTGTCTGCTTTTGCTCAACAGTACTTCTGGTGCTGGCACATGGCTCCCACATAGTAGGTGTTTACTAAATAATGCTTAATGGATAACCAACCTTTATTTTTATTTTATTTTATTTTATTTTATTTTTTTATTTATTATGGTGACATTGGTTAACGAAATCCAATAAGTTTCATCTGTACACTTTAACAATAAGGCATATATATATTTATACTATGTGTTCACCTCCCATAGTTAGATTTCTTTCTGTCAGCACATATTTGACCTTATTTACCCCGTCTACCTCCCCGCTCCCCCTTCCCTCTGGTAACCACTAGTCTATAGTCCATGTCCATGAGTCTCTGTTTGTTTGTCCTGCTTATTTGGATAATCGATCTTTATAAATGTGGTGGCATAACTAACACACAGAGAGCAGGATATAGTTGGAGCCCAACCCAAAGCCAGGCTTTAAAACACTAACAACAGTGCTGTTGTTTCAGATGTGGCTAATCCCAGTGAGTTTTCAGACAGACACTGCAGGGAACTAGACTTGGGCTCTGCACAGACAGAAATGCTTTTTACATGCTGTTTGCTTATCCTCAGGCTTTAGGGCTGTTAAGCAATGCCAGACTCTTCATCCCATCTTTCTTATAAATATCTTAAATTATTAGGTGAAAAGCCTTTACATAGGCAAGTTAGACTTTCAAAATTTAGCAAGTAGAATAATACACATGTAAACTAAAATCAGAACTGAGCCTAGCAATGTCATTAGCTTTCTCTTTTTCCTCCAAGATATGGAATGGAGACACATCAGATCTTTGAAATATATGTTGGTTTTAAGTCTGTGGCATTTCTGTGTTGACAATTGCAAAAATATAAAAGGCTAGCATTCTGTCCTGTTCCTTAGACTAAGGCATATAATGTGGAAAGTCTGTAATATAGTGGTTATCAGGTGGACTCAGCATTTTACTGTTCATAAAATAATTGAAAATAAAACTACCATTCTATGCCTATAGATGCCCCAGCTATGAATCCAGGTACATTTGACAGAGAAAAAAAATTTAGTGCCATTTTAGTTTGTGTCTGTCTCACCTGCATAAAACTTTTGGAACTATGAATGCAAAATTGCTGAAAATAAACCAACTCAGCTTTTGGCTTTTTATATATATTTTGATTAATTGTGTATTCCAGAGAACTGTGAACTGGAAGGAACTTTGTACACCCCCATTTTATAGATGAGGAGACTAGGGAAATGACTTATCCAAGCTCAGAGAGGGCTTTGGAAGCAGAGCTGAACCCAGGTCTTTGGGTACCTCATCCCTCCACAGCAGGATCTCCATTTTTGCATCTTGTAATGCACACCACATTCTGCTACGTTATGAAGAGGCAACATCAAATCTGCCAGCTGGCTAGGAAATGCAAGGCTATAGTTCTCAGAAAAATATAAATTGCACAAAAGCTATAGCGTGTTTGCTAGACAAGTTTTCGTATTTCTTAACCATATGTGATTAAGTTTCTTTTTTGGAAGGTCTTTTCAGCTCCCATGTAAATTGCAGATGCAAATAGATGTCTCTAATAGAAGAGTATGGGGTAGACAGGGACAAAGAAATGCTGTTTAATTCCATTGCTAGTCATATCTCAATTCAGGTGGCCCCAGCTGTTACCCCCACTGTATCTACTAAGAGAATGTTTTAGTCTAGTAGTTAAAGGAAGAAAAGAAATAAACATTTAAAAGTAAATGAATGTTCTATGCCAGAGTGTGTGGAAGGAAATAATTAACTCAGGTTTATATTTTTGCTCTTGAAGGACCTTGATCAAACGTCCACGGTTGAGTACAGAACTGCATAACTCTGGCTGGAACCCCTCATAAAGAGTTATTTTGATCTGGAATGAGATTGTCTTTCTATAAGAAGGAGCAGATCATACCTAAGTGTGATCCTTCTTCCATGCTTTAGAGTCCTCTAAGTTCAAATAGCAGATAAAAAGAGCCATTTTCCCATTTATTTCCCCATAGATTTGTACAAGGAAATAACATCTCCTTAAGCCTATTGTTGAAATGAAAACGGAAAGAAAAAAAAAAACTTCTGACCTTGCATTGACTTCCTGCTTTTCTTTGTACTATTAACTAGTTATCAGCCTGGGACATATGTGAGTCTGTGTATGTTTGTGTGTGTGTGTGTGTGTGTGTGTGTGTGTGTGTGTGTGTGTGTGTGTGCGCGCGCACGCGCACTTAACATCAAACTTAACATCAGGCAAGGACTTTGTTCACAGTACAATGATCTGGCCATCATAAATGTTTACTTTCAATCAGGAGGAAGTCGCAAACATTCAAATAGTGTTTCAAATCTATGCAGGTAAATCCATAGCTAGTGTGGACATTTAATGAGGCAGTGTTCAGATTTCTAGTGGCAATGTGGTCCAGACTCTGTCATCCAAGAGAAGTAGAAAGGAGAAGTAGAAATCAGAACTAGAGTCTACTCAGACAGCCAAAGCTCAGACAGCCAAAGCTCAGATCAAGAAAGAGAACATTACCTGAACCCCAAAGTGTTTGGCTAACTTTTTATTTAGGATCCTTAAATTTAAACAGACTCCACTGCCTACTTTGCATCTGGGTGGGTTTCCAGCTTTAGAGTGGGATCCACACTATGTCAGAACTAGAAGGGACCTCGAAGATCACCACAGTGAACCAGCTCAAAACTTGAGTGGAGAACAGACACAGGAGAGAAGCAGCAATTTGCTGAGGGACATACAGCTAGTTAATGGCAGGGCAGTTAAGGACATTGTGGCTCTGGCTGCCTGGCCCTCACTTGTATCATTTCCACCATCTAACTTCTTACTTTTATTCAAAGGTCATAGGACAGCATGCTTACTTCTCTTTCAAGCCATGAGTTTATCCAAGGTGCCAAAACCTCTCTGAATCTGTCATCAGTTTCTATAGTTTTAACTTTTAAATGAACAAATATAAAAAGCATCTGTGCATAATATTGTGTTATATTTCACTTCATCCTAGATTCAGGACAAGTACTCCAAAAGTGGCATTGCTTGTTTCTTAAAGGAAGATGACAGCTCTTGGGACCCCAATGATGAAGAGAGTATGAACAACCCCTGCTGGCAAGTAAAGTGGCAACTACATCAGTTTGTTAGAAAGGTAGGTGGACGACCAGGTGACTTCACCAGCCAGTATAGAAGGTCAGAGGAGAAGGAATATTTAAGATCATCACGTCTAGACTCCTCATTTTGCAAAAGAGGAAACTGAGGCCCAGAGCATTTAAGTGATTTCCCCCAAATTCATAGAACTAGAAAAAGGTATAACAGCACCAAATAGTGGGTCCCAGTCAACTCCTGGTCTAGAGTTCAGGTCTCTACTCTAGACAGCCTCCTCATTTAATCTAATCTTTTTATCTCACATGTGAAAACTAAGGCATAAATAGAGTAATATGTTCAAGGTCACACAACAATAAAAGATGTGTGTAATTTTTTTTTTTCAAAAGTCAAAAGAGGCCAAGTAATAGTATTTTATATTCTTCCTACATGTTGATCTCTGAAAACATATATTTATTTTTGTATGCACATAGAGACAAAGAAAGAGGAAAGGAAGAGGGAAGAAAGATACATTGAGAAATTGAAAGTGAAGACACCTCAATTTGCAGTTAGTAAATGAGAAATTATAATATTTTCTGTTTATAGAAGTTGCTTGAAAAGGATCTCTAGCAGAAATACTATGTTAGCTAACAGTTTATTTCACTAAATACAATGACATAATTTTACTTTCAGCAGTGTGACATGTCAAATTAAGTTTCTTCTCTCAGGCTCTTTCCTTCTTTGTAAGACATTATTTAATAATAATTACTTTCTGCCTACCCAGAAAGGTCAGATGAAAACAATTTTATGAAAATTCTCTGTAAACTAGGAAGCACCACCATTGTTCAAAAAAACACTGGTGACATTTCCCGGGTAAGAGGAAGTTGTGTTTTAAAAACAGGATACTAAAAATAAATAAATAAATAAAAAGGATTCTAATTCCATTGTTTGATGCTCAGTTTCATTTTCCATAAAATATAGTGTTATTCTGGTGGTTAGGAATTTGATTTATAAACTCGAACAGTCCTCACAGGAGAGCTCAGACATCACTTATGGTGCTATTTCTACAAGAAATGAAATCACACTTCCATCTGGGAGTCAGAGAAACACATCTGCTCTGTGGCCACCCTGGAAGAGTGCTGTACTGAAGCAGCTATGACGCCATCACCTCAAGTGACAAGGACCGGGAAAGGTCCAGGGTTGGGGGAGGATCCTGAGGAACTTAAGGAATGGGATCCACAGTCCCTGAGGTTACAGGGGTGGCAAACCCACAGGTGGCAGGGGAAAGAAACTTAGAACTAGTGTAAAAATCTGGAGACTGAGGAAGTAGTTTAGAGTCAGGGTCTGGGAGTGGGAAGATAAGAGAAGTAGTGGGGTTAGAATTTATGTATCTCTTCCCTGCTATTTTTCCTCTCCTTCCCATTCTCATATCCTGCCACAAACTAAAATAGAGAGGAGCTGGGAGAGGACACAGAGGGGAGGAGGAGAACGTAGGGAAAAATAATTCCCCATTTTTCCCAGGCACCATTAATTGAACAGACTATTTTCAGTAAATATCCTATATTCACTATATATATTATCTCATTTAATTCTCATAACCGCTCTATGAGGAAGAAATCATTTTTCTCTTATTCTTCTTCCTCTTCCTCCTCCTTCTTCTTCACAGATAAAGAAGTTAAATTTCACATCAGTTAAGTAACTTGAGAAAAGTTTCCCAGAGCCATTCATTGACAGATTTGAACCTAGGCCATCTGACCATACTGTAATTATTCTTGTATTCTGCCTTTCACACTGTAGGAATTACCCTTCTCTCTTTCCTGCTAACTCCTCCTTCTTCCTTCCTTTCTGTCCCAGAATGAGAGAGAGAGGAGAGAGAGAGAGAACGAGAGAGAGAGCGAGAGCGAGCGAGAGAGAGAGAGAGAGAGAGAGAGAGAGAGAGAGAGAGAGAGAGAATGCTGAGTCTATCTCTCGTTTTCCCTTCCCATACCTCAGTCCCCACTGGATGAGAGGTAGTCTCCCCATTATCTGGAGTCAGGGCCTGAGGCAAGTGAAGAAGCAGAGAGTTTCTGATTTGGGATGGGAGTACAGAGGAGGGGAGTTTCTGGCAGTTGCAAAATTAACAACAGTGACAGGAAAGGAGGGCAATGATGGGCAAAGCCCCTGGGGGTGACAGAACTGAGTGGAGCAGAGTTTAGAATCCATGGGTGACCCAGGTCGTGACTTGATGGGCATCATGAGAGAGAGGAAATATGCCTTACATCTTGAAGTTTGGGCCTACCCAATCATTTAAAGCCCCTGAACTCTATTACACACATGTGTGCATACACACACAGAGACAGTGAGGTGACATATCTGCCACATCCATCAGCCACAAGGAGGCTTGGGAAACATTAAGCTGACCTAACTTGGCAGATGGCTCCTTCCTCCTGTGTTGCTCCAAGTGTGATCTTTCAGACTTTATCCAGAAACAAAATTTTCTCAGACAGAGGACCATTCTCTGATCACCATGTAGGGATGTCTGCCTCAATATTCACTCCAGCAGCCATGCTACCTCACGCCAATTATATGCTTGAACAAATTAAAGCTTTCTAAGTTGATATCTTACACAGGAATTTCCTGTTACACATCAGGAAAGAGAGCCATAGACCTTCTGTAATAAGTTTAAGATTTTTAGGGAAATTAACAAGCTTTATTCAATACTATTTGCAGATGATTTTGAGAACCTATGAGGAAGACATTTCTACAGTTCCAGGTAGTATTTTTGTTGTTGTTATTTTAACTTTCTACTATCAACTTCATAACAGTGTGAATAACTCTCCATCCTCTTCCTCTCTGATCCCATCCACAGATCCCACCTCTGAACCGATTGCTGCTCAGTGTCTCAAACTACTTGATTCTATTCCCTTCTTTGCATTGATAGCTAGAAAGCACAGTACCAAATCTGTGGCCCACCTACAGCCAGACTTTAGTTCAACTGAACCTTGTTTTTCCAACATGGATTTTCCTTTCATCTCAATTTCTTCAAATAGTTTTTTTTTTTTCTTTTTATCTTCTAATGTGTTGCAAATAAGTCCTCTAAATCCTCTCTAGAACATGGCTGGAAGGTAAATAAGGGCCACAAAGTTACCAATCTTCTCTGCTTCTGACTGCCATCAGGCTCTATGCCTTTCTTCATGCAGAAGCCCCTGGCTCCATCATCCCTTTCCCAACAATCCTGCTGCCAACCCACAGTTCTCATGCTGTGGTCCACATGCCACAGCCATCTTCCTATTCACAGTCAGCAGCCTACTCTTGACCCCATACCCTCCTTCAATGCTGTTACCCAGGCTGGCCTTGTTGATCCTCCACCTGGCTTCTTTTGTTACTGGCTTTTCACACAATTGGCTCCTTCTCATTCTTCTTCCTCCACATCTAATTGTCAGAAACTCCCTGGACACCTTTATAATTAAGTTCCCCTACACTCTGTTATTTCTATCATACTTACTGTGTTCATTTCCTTTTATTCTTATATATATTTTTTATCTGAGTGTTGTCTGATTTTTTACCAGTTTGGCAATCCACGAAGACAGAAAACATGTGTTTCACTCATCTCTCTATATCTAGCACCTAACCCTATACCACAAGCCTAGTAGATTCCCCACTCTTATCTGCACCACCTTCAGGGAGTGTGTGTGTGCGCGTGTGTGCGTGTGTGTGTGTGTACTTTGATCGAGACGAAATTCCTATAACACACAATTAACTATTTAAAGTGTACAATTCAATGGCAGTGCCAACACCATCTCTCTCTACATAGAAGATTTTTTAATATATATGTTTGGTTGCATAAATATGTAAATAAAATAGCCCCATTTTCCCATACTCATGGCCATATAGGCCTGAATACATATACTAAAGACTTACAGTCCTGGGGCATATCAACCTGGCAGAGTGGAAACAGCTTTATATATGTATGTATGTATGTGTGTATGCATATATGTATATATATGTGTGTGTGTGTATTTATATGTTGTTAATGAAATCTTCCTAATTCTCAGCTATTCTTTTCCAGTCCAATAAGCTTCTTTGTTACAGCCTCATTTTCCTTTTTAAAATAGTTTTTATTAAATAAGAAGTATAGGACCTCATCCCAGGGTCTAAGCATTCTTTCTGATCATTTCCCCAAAGGCAAAAGCAGTAGTGAGAGTAGTGAACACCCTATCTCTTTTGATAAGGCACACCAGATCCATAGTTTACAGTAGATGCATATACTATTTTCAATGTTGTAAGAAAAAATATTATTTTTTTATTCATCCCAATTATGTACTTCTCAGTGTACAAAGTCGTATCCATGATACCCAAATATACATTTTTGCAGGTTTCTTTTCTGGGAGGTGTTTGCTATTGCTATTTCCTCTCTTTAGAATTTTCTTCAAATCTAGGCTTTCCCCTATCCTTGCAATGACTTCAAATGTAAGATATTTATAATCGTATTTTGTTATTGTATACTAAAAATAAAGTATTAAGGCCTAAGGCAGGCAAGGCATTATGAATTATTTATCAATGGAGCTTAAATGTAAGTGGACACATCAACCTTGAAAGCTGAGCATCCTGAGAAAAATATGTAATTGACTATGCATCCCCATGCCATGTTTGATCTTTTTTTTTTTTAACATTTTATTTTTTCATTTTCCCCTTCCCTCCTCCCCTCTGGTAAATGCTTGATCTTCAATACCATTTAAATGCCCACTCATCTTGAATAAGCAATATTAATACCAGATTAAAAGAAATGAAAAGAGATTCTCATTTTCCATTCATTTTTCTCCTATGGAATTTTATTACCTCTTTTTAGTTCCCTCTACTAATAGCCTACTTTTCTCAGTCCTGATCAATTATAATAATCTGGTAACTTGCCAGCCTCCAGTCCTCTCACCTTCTATCTGTCAAACCTTACTATGAGAGATAAAGTTAGCCTGAAGAACAAAACATGTCTCTTCACTTCCCTGACCAAATCTTTCAGAGTCTTTTCATGTCCTGTAAAATCTAAATCTCTTAGCCTCACATTCAAATCCTCTATAGTTTGACTCATTATTCAAACCTGAAACTGGACTCCTCTCATGCCTGTGTCCCAAGAATGCTTTGTGCATCCTGCCTTGGGGCCTTCTCCCATCCCTATGGGCCCCAAGCCAGACCATCCTCACCCTGTTCAGATAATTATTCTTGTACCTCAAACACTTTCTTTCATTTGTTTGTTTATAATTCTTTTACCTTGTTTCTAGAAGAGTGCCTGGCATAAATGTGGTGGGCACTTTGGTTTATTGGAGTAAGTGAATGAAAGGGCCTTAGCACAAACCCTCCCCTGACTTCAGCTCTCCAATAAATAGGAATCTCCCTCCTCTAAATAGCCATCACTAGTTCTATTTCCCTTAGGTACATTTTCACTTTCTAATTCATAGCTTCTCTAAAAGACTGTTTAAGTCCCTTGAGGCCTCAGTCAGTGTAATCAGCGATTCATCTTTGCTGCCTCTGTAGAATATAGTGCCGTGCATTGCCCCTTGGGAAGTTTGATCTGATGTTTTTAAAGAGTAGTTTGTTGAATTTGTATATTTTAAGGCTGTTCCAGGATATTTCAATGGTGGTCAATAAATGTTATTTGTTTATTATGATCTAGTGAATCAGCAATTTATATGCTCATATACTAATTATCATGATCAATATGTCAATTTGTGTTCCTTTTGGGAGGTGGGGGGAAATGACTTTTTGCTACCAGCTTGTAGCATCTATGGACAATTGTGATCACTGCTGCTCCTTTAAAATCAGTAGTAGCTAGCAAAGAGGAAAAAATAATTGAGATAATGAAATTGGCATCATACTTATTTCTATATATAGAACTCAAAGTGGAAATTTGCCAATACCTGGTTACTTGTGTACTTTAAAAGACTCAGCAAAGATTATTATAAGTCCACAGTTTTGTTTGTTTGGTGTTTTTGGAAAAGGGCCAGAATCCACTGTTATCTTCATTGTAATTACCTCTGATAAATTATAACCCAAGTTACTACTTATTCTTCCCTACTACATTACTTTTCAAATTAAACATAAATTGAAGTAGACTGTTAATCATACTAAAATGTAGGCCGTTTCGATGAAAACCCATATAATCAACTTTCAAAGCCTAGCATGCTCACAATGCCTAATCGACAACGGCTGTGAACAGTAATGTATTTGAGAGGCAGTTTGACAAATGCTGATGATTCTTTGTCATTTCTCTTTTTAGAAAAGTCACAAAATATTCCTTACCAAGAAATAGAAAAAGGACTTCAGAGAGTAGCAGCTCACATAACGGGGACCAGTCGGAGAAGAAGCACATTACCAGATCCAAGTAAGAAAAATGACAAATATATGGTTTAAAGTAAGGCAATGGAGGAATTTGTTCCAAATAATTTATTCTTTTAATTTGTACCTGAAATGTTTATATAGCAATTCACAACGTGCTCAGTAGTAATCAGCTTCCAGACTGCCTGTTTTCAGAAGCAAGATTTTACAAGACAAATAACTCAATTACTGACCTGGCATAACTGGTTTTAGGAAAATTATAAAGTGGGAGAACTTTGTCTTTGAGTTTCTCATGCCCCCATTTTTGCATTTTCCTTCTTCTTTAAGGAAATTTCTTTCTTTTTCATCAAATCTTCTTCCTCTTTAAAAATTCTAAATCAGTCATTTACTTTCATGATGAATTACTAAGTACCCTTATGGCATTTGCATTAGATTGAATGATAGGAAGTTGCCAATATTTGACTATTTTTTACTTACATAAATGTTAGTTTCATATTGTTTAATCAAATACATTAAACCTAATTTTTTAACTCTAGAACAAGGGTCAATAGAGTACTGTACTTAAGTGCATAAGTCTTACAATCTAAATACCCACATGGAAACCCAAGCTCCTCCTCACCTAGATAAATGCTTTGAGTAAATTGCTAATACAAATCAATCTTCAGTTTCTTCATATACAAAGTAGAGATAGATAATCTTTAACTCATAAAACAGTAAATATTATCACATGCAAAATGCTTAGTGTATTTTAAGTACTCAATAAGTCGTCACTTTTATTACTGTGAAAGGTTTTGTCCCAAGTTAAAGAAATTTTGGGCATCAGATAATAAATTAAAAGGTTATTGGGGTTTCAGGGTTTGTTTTGTTTTGTTTTGTTTTCTGGGCAGTTGCCTTCCTGGTATTCCTGAATTCATGTTTTATAAATGATTGACATGTTCTGCCTATGAGTGAGATCATTATTATGATATTACTGTTTGCTAATATGATAGTTGTTTTAAACTCTTGAAAAATTAAATTTTGCTTTAATCATGGAGATCAGCCCAAAGTTTAAAGGAATATCATATTTTGGTAGGGCCCTTTTTCATTGACTCTCTAGGAGTTAAAGATCCAAGGATCTGAAGATCTTTAAATCTGGGATCTCTTTGCCAAACCTTGTGCCCTGTCCTATTGTGGACTAGAGATGTCTTCTGTATGGATGGTGCCTTCGATTCTGGATTGCTGAGAAAGACCAAGGAGGGCCCCGAAGAGACCCAAAGGAATAGTAAGAAGTTCTGAGCTCTTGGCTTAAGGAAGTAGATATGTTTCTTTTGGTTTCTTT